TGGGACCGTAAAAGTGTTTGTGCCTTATTCATTAAGCGATACACAGGTTCTACTGTTATAGTGTCTAGAGCCTGCTTTGTGCCCTTCACAATGTTGTAGCCTTTTAACTTAAAACTTCAACCATATCCTGTTATTATTATTATTAATGGTTTATGCTTACCATTACTTTAGCTTGTTGCATAGACACCTGTAATGCCTAAAATGTTCTCTTATATCGGATTTTGTTGCAGATATATTACAAGTGATGATGTTGTTGAATTGAAGGGCAAGGTTGCTTGTGAGATCAGTAGCGCTGATGAGTTGATTCTGACTGAGCTTATGTTCAGTGGGGTTCTGAAAGATATAAAGCCAGAAGAAATGGTCTCTCTTCTCTCTTGTTTTGTTTGGCAGGAGAAGCTCCAAGATGCTGCAAAGCCCAGGGAGGAACTAGAGCTGCTCTTTACACAACTACAGGATACAGCACGGAAGATGGCCAAAGTTCAGCATGAATGCAAGGTATACTAGATACTTCATCTTTCTGTGCCTTTTATTTGTTTCCATTTTGCAATCTTGGTTTTGGATTTTGGATGCAAGTAGGATAGGATGTCTTGGAAGGTTTGAAACCCATTTTTGGTTTAAAGGAAAATGGATGTCTGGTTCTAGGCTGTGTTTCAGATATTTGCTCATTATGTTGGTGGACCAGTAGGTTGGTTAGGGTCCTCTTTGGACATGAGAAGAAAATGCCAGAGTACCTTTTCCCCCCTCTTTTTGGTATAGGAAGGGAGAATTAAACCCTGTACCTTGATTGGGTTGCTATGAAGCAATTTTTTTTGGCCACAACTACTATTCTAGAAATTACATAGGGGTGGTTTCCAGAAAATATGAACTGCATATGGCCTAAGGCATATCTGTCTGTCGGTCCAGACATCGATCAAAAGAATTGCTAATATTTCGCGTTTAGGAAAGGTCATATTTTGATGTTGCCATTTTGTGGTAGGGTTGGTACGTGATTACACGTAAGCATGTTGCTCTACTCTTTTCTTGCAAGAGAAGTAGTTGTCTTAAAGGAAGTGTTTATTTACAGGTTCAAATCGATGTGGAGAGCTTTGTAAGTCCATTTCGGCCTGACATTATGGAAGCTGTATATGCTTGGGCCAAAGGATCCAAGTTCTATGAGATCATGGAAATTACTCAGGTTTTCGAGGGCAGCTTAATAAGAGCCATCAGACGACTGGAAGAAGTTCTTCAGCAGCTTATTTTAGCAGCCAAGTCCATTGGAGAGACAGAACTTGAAACAAAATTTGAAATGGCCGTCTCTAAAATTAAAAGAGACATAGTATTTGCAGCATCTCTGTACTTGTAGTTCAGTTGCACTTTAATCTGCAAGTGCATGCCCTTTCCCTGGAAGTTATTTATCATGCTGTTGCCGATAACCCAAAAATGGCTTTGATGGTGGTGGCAAAGCGAACAAGAATCTGAAATGTTGTTGACAAAGGATTTCTCACAGTTCCGAGTCTTATATTTTACTCATACACTTGTCTGTTCTATTGTTAGAGATATAATGTTTTCTGATTCCAGCATTTTTTTTTTCTGCCATTCGATTCTTGGTAGAACTTGAGCTAACTTGTAGTGAAAGGAGAGAAATTAGTTCACTAAAATTTTGATGTAATGTCTCTATATATATATATTCACTATTCTTGTTCTTCAATTATGAAAGTAGATATGGATGGTTTTAAACAGTTCCTATGTTCACTGTTTACCATTATCAAAAGCTAATTTCCATTCCCCAAACGTTATCTGATCCTTTAAGCAACAACCATTCGAATCCTTGGGTAAAACATGTTAAGGATCAACTATTGACTAAAGAAAAAAAAAAGGAGTTTGAGTTAGGTGATTGGCTTCTCCAACAAAGCTGATAAATACCACTCATTCTTCTCAATATTCCACCTCTCTCTTAAACCCAGTTTGATCAAACATGGGGACATAGGTTTGATTGAGCTGCGATCCATGACAGATGAAGCGGTCAAAGCCATACTAGTCCCCTTGGTATCAACACTCTGTATATGTCGTACAGGGTGAGCTCCAACATTTCATCAGTTGCTCAACACATGCATAGAATGCACTATATCCAATGTGTACTCAAAGAATGGAAGCCTCTGAGAAATGCTAACATGCTTTGGGATCAACCCCCTTGATGCAATCAAACTATTGAACGGTCCATCCATGTTCATTGAACTTGTGATGATGGTGATGATCTGCTCTCTCATCCTCGCAGCGAAAGTGCCAGTCTCACCTCCGATGTCGAGTCCGATTTGGATACTCCCGGCTGGTTTCGTTTCAAGAATCTGATCGATTCCATAATCTAGTCCTCTGTCGTAAAGCCATCTTTTTTCTCGGCCTTGCAGGTTGAAGCAGTACCTGCAATCAAAGTTCCCTGGAAACTTGTTGCAGTCGCTGAGGCATTGGCAGCTTTTGTAAGTGTACGGATCCTAAATAATGCTGGAATATGATGGAATTGACCAAAGGCTATCGGGAAACAGTGTTGGCTCAACATAACCGACAGGGGATTTGGGGCGGCATCGTCGACGAGGGAGTGGTTCACAACCCTTGAGCATGAGTTTTTGAGCAAAAACATCATCCACGGGACATTCACCGCCAATGTCATGTCATTGTACTGAGAGTGTTCCTCTTGAAACCTCAAGCAGGATGCTCCAACAGGAGGATAGATCTCATCAGATGCGATCCTTGGGGAGTATCCTAATGGGAGCTTGTCAGGAAGAACGGCAAGCTTGAGTTCATCCGACAAGGAAGCAGGACAAGGAATGTCGAATATATTAGCTAGTTCGTGTTGATGAGCGAGCTCAATAAGGAGGGCTTGAACGAGCAAGTTGGTGGAGTTAATCTTGTAGTGCAAGTCAGCAATAAGAGAATAAGTGGAAATGAGTTGGGACTTTGTGGAGTTTAGGTCCTGCAAGAGAAGAGAAATGGAATGAAGGATGTTGTAGTTGGATGATAAGATGAAAGGATGGGTACAATGTTGGTGAATATGAACATCAGGTTGCTGTGAACAAGTTGCTTGTATTCCATGCTGCTTACCTTGCCTGTGGGTTTCTTCCTGAAAAGAGATGAGAATGAAGTGCAGAAGATGTGGATACGGACGGACCTAAGATTTTATATTAAGGAATATATTTTTTAAATTTTAAGAAGGGATGAATTTATAAAATTTTATATGAGTGGAATTCGAAAACAGATTTTCAATAGAAAATATATATAAAAAATATAAGATAATTTTAATTTTTCAGAGAGCAACTATCCTCACACGCCTCTCGATCCATCCGTGAATGCGGAATTTACTTTCAGTTCAGGTGGTGGGAGTTGGAAGCTAAATAATTCGGCAGAATGAGATGCATGTCACATGCTAATGGAGCTTTGTTCATTGTAATGCTCCCCTTGGGCAGCTAAAACTTCCTAACATATTGTGATATTTCAATAGATATACAAGTAAGGTAAGTTTTTTCTTTTTTATTATTTATGACTCTTGATGTTTGACCAAACTGTTACGCTCAAATTTTTAATTTTTTTTTATCTTTTATTGCATTTTTTTAAGTATTAAGTAGTAAATTTCGACAAATAGCGGTGACCAAGAGTAAAAGTATGAATATTAATTTACCCCTTTAAGTATTGAATAAGAATTAAATTGGAAGGAACTTATTGTAGTTAGGGTCAAAATGAAAACAAGGAAAAAAATGGAGCCGTTTGAAACATTTCCCCCCAAAAGTTATGAGATTTTTCGAGAAACATTTTGGACCCTTCTATCTTTGTGGGGTTTACCATGTCTGATCTTAACCCTCCAGGTGAAAACATTCACCATATTTCATGAATTATGATTGGGTTAGATGAGAGAGGAACTTGATTCTCATTACTTTTCTATAGGAAAAAAAAAAGTAAATAAATCCAATACATTTAAAAAATTCTTTATGTGCAGTTACAAGAGTAGACATAGAATTGATTTAAAAGTCTAAATCTTTGTGTAAATTATCTATATATTTTGATTGTTTCAATCAATTTTTTAAAAGTCAATTCACCATTCTCTTGAAATATTTTAATTGATTGATCAAGCTAACATTAATACAATTGCATTTAAAAATAAAATGTGTATACAAGTTTCAGATTAATTATCGATCTTTTTTCCGATTAATACAATTTAATATAGTTTGGACACTTATTTTTTACATTAAGCCTAAAAACAATATACTCGGGTATATAATATTGGCAACTCCACACCCTTTCTACTATTGGGGTAAGTTGAATAGGCAATCCAGTAAACAGAAGCAAAATTAAAGTAAATTGCACATTTTTAAACTTAATACCAAATTGAACAATGTAGTATGGATATCCAATACATGGCTAATGCTTTCATGATGGAGTTTGTCTAATTAACAAGTCAAATTAAAACCTAAAATTAGATCCTTCATATCGGTTAAAGATGATAAATAATGTTCCTATTTTATTCTTGTATAATCTTTAGGTTCAGTTTCCTTGATTTTACATAACATCTCAAACTAACCTGTAAACAGTTTTTCTATCATACCTCAATCTAAATGCAGCTACAAACCCCAAACGAAATGCATGGACGCACACACACTAAGCAAAAAGTGGCCAAAATAACTGAGGTTTAAGAGCACACAAAATATTGGTAACAATTAAACAGAATCAAATTACAGCCAAAAGGTGTACTGAGAAAATAAAAGAACTCAGCAATTGCAGTTTTGTTAAATGAAGCACAACAATCTTTTACCAAAGCTTTCTTTGAAAAGCTGCAGGCAGGTAAGGGGGCAGTTGTAACATCATATGCAATTACATATCCAGGATAATCATTCAAAAGATAAAGGAACTACAATTACATATATTTGTTTATCATTTTAAAGATAGCTTTATCAAGACAGAGGTTGACACTGTATTTAACTTGACCACATCATGAATTAAAATAGGAGGTAATTGTTACAACTAAGATTGTTGCTCCTCGATAGTGTCAGCAATTACAAACTTCAAGGAATTGCATCAATAGATTACTTTCCCCTTTGTATACTTTACATAGATTTTAAAGTCCAAAAACAGGAAAGTGGTCTACTTCGTAAAATATCCAATCATACAGAGGCTAACAATAGAATAGATAAGCCCAACAAAGACACAATTCCTGAAACAAACACATAATTCATGCCGAAAAATATTTAGGAAATTACCACATCAACTAATCTGAACTTTCATCATCAGAAGATGACGATCTGCCGAAATTCCCAAAGTATTGGAAGCGTGATATTTGACTTCTATTTGAGATGTGAGATCTCTTCTGCCTAGGCATTAAGCCTTGACTAGACAGAGAATCAAACAAGACCCCCATATCCATTTTCTTCGGAGATCTTTTATGTTCATCTTGAAAACTACAAAATCATACAAAGCAAACTCAGCAAATAAGTTGTGATTAACCCCACCTCCACCCTTCCTTTTTTCACCCTTTTTTGGGGATAAATTCAGGGGAGCATATCAGAAATTTATGAAGAATTAAAGAACTGGTTGACAGGGAAGGGACACCACTCCTAACTATAAATACATGCTACGTTGCTACGACTCCCATGTCCAACACATTTACAGACTTGGATACCAGGACATAACCCTCCAAGTATAATCCAAAAAATAAGGAATAATTGAACGTCCTCATTTTGGACACACAATCATGTCCGCAGGTCACACCAAAATCCAAGTAACATATAATTCAGATAAACTATAGAAAATGAGTAACTCAAGGTGTTACATCAGACAATAGAATTGTCAAATGGAAGGGACCCATACCGTTCTTGAATAATTTTAAAGGCTTCCTTTGTTGCATAGCATAGCCCTGTCTTCGGATCTCGGTACCTACAACATCAAATGACAATTTGAATAAATATGGTTGGATGGAAAAAGCCGAATTTGTCTTCTCTTAAAATGTTAAGCATCACTGAATTAACATATATACTAAATCATAAACATGGCTTAGCAACAACTTTGATGAAACTCCCAGCTGAAGAGAAGCTCCCTATCTCATGGCTTTCACTTTTGAATTTCCCACCCCGATGACATTTCTAATACACGTTTAGAAATTAAAAATGCTGATGGATCATTGATTGGGAGCATGGCATCTTTAACAGTAGATTCAAAAGTCCATGTTACACAAGAAAGAGCAAATTAAAATGCATTTCACTGATGCTCCAGAAAATGAAAAAAAAACTGCAAAAAAAGTGTTTATGTTCTTCCGGTTCAACTGAAAGAAATCATAATTCAGTTCCAAATAAAGAAAATATAACAATTAATTCAGCAATTGGACTTTAGAATGAAAGACCAAGCAATAACCATTATGATATAAGCTCCTACCTGGCAGGCAATCCAGTTACAGCACATATGGCCTTTTCGGGGTCTGGGTGTAAAGATAAATGAACAAAATAATCAAAATAATATAAATAGAGCAAATAAATAGTGGTAACTAAATAAAAAAGGCTAGAATCAAAACATAGAAATTAAAAAAAGTAGAAAATCGTGCACGCTAAGCTGTTAAATGCTAAACATTATGTGCATATTGTCACGGGACTAGACTGCTGCTAGCAAGCTCGTGCGGCGTCGAAGTTCTGGGGGCGTGACAATATCTAGAGAATCATCTAACAAGAAGTTCTTTCCTTAAGTCATATCCCGATGCAAGACAGCTTAAAGTTAAACTACAATCCAAATTTCTTGAGAGGATTGGGGTAAGACTAAACTAGAAGATCCCTAAGCTTCACACCTATGGTTCTTTGATTGCATCACACAATAAAGAAGAAAACTCAAGTATCAGACCTAGTGTTCAACAACAAAGCAATAAGCTGAAATTGGTAGATGCCAAGATGTTTACACGTGTGGTTTAATTGACATTTTCTTCGGTTAGTTTAACACCTGTAAAGAATATCTTTATTTTGTAAACTTAACTCATGTAATGAAAGATGGCGGACGGTGGACATATATATTTATTAAAATGGGTATGTGTGCATATATAATCTATCATTTAATATATTTATTAAAATTGACTAGGACATATTAATATAATTATATATATAATGTAACTGAAATAAAATTGAATGAAATCCTTATAAGACCTAGTTCAATATTATTATTAATATGTTATTAAATTAGTAATTTGTATCTTTATATGTATTTTATTTTATTACTAATGTTTTTAAATTCATGCAAGGAGATGACATTAGAGAAGAGCAAGATCTAGATGGTAATGATTCATTGAAGTGAAGGAAATTTAGAACTGAACATAACTTGAATTTATAAATGAACCATATTGAAATTAATCTTATTTGTTATATTTATTATTTTTAGTACTAATGCTTGTTTTGATTCACAAGCCTTGGGACCAAATATGAAAGAAGCTATTGAGTGCTTAGTGGCTATTTTAAAATCAATGGGAATCTGGATGAACAAAGAGTTGCACCCTCCGATCCTTGTTCGTGCAAGAGAATTAAAGCTGTTCAAAACAGACCTGAACCAGGAAATATTCCCAAGGCTAAGATAGCAATTACAAAAGTTGTGTTGGATGTTCAGAAGCTGGTTGTTAATGAACTCTTTGAGATTGCACTGAATGAAAGCAAAAACAGTCCATTGATGTAGTTTGTGAAAGACAGAAGTCTATAGTTGGAAATACAGATAGGAGATTAGCTACAGCAGACAGACATGGAAGATCTTATATCAAGGTTGAATCAAGAAGTTGCACTAATGCAGTTCCTCGCAACAAATGCAGTTCCAGAAATTTATGCCAAAGTGATGAATGTTATTGTCAGAGTTGAGTTTTCCAAGCTGGGGAGAATGATGCAGGAGCTTTATGTATTTTATAATATTTTATTAGTTCAGTTTTATTTTATAATATTCATTAACTATTAACATTTTGTGTCATTTTAAATAGTTATGTGATTAGCATTGGACTATTAGTAACAGTTCTAATACAACTATTCTAATAGAGAGTAAATAGGACTGTCAGTGAAATTTTATTCTTAAATACTATACTAGAGGGTTATTAGGGCAGTTTTATTATCATTTTTTTTGATAAAATAAAGCCTCATTAAAACCCCCCTTCTTATCCTACATGTTACAGACATAACATGAAAGACATTGGAAGGAGGAAAAGAGTGCCTCTAACTTTTATTAATTAAAACACTAATACACCTCCACACCTCAACAACTAACAACTTTTTACAAAACAGAAAACCATAAATCTGAAAACATAACACACCCTGATACTCCCTAAATAAGACAACCAAGGCATAACACCTTAACCATAACACAAACCTAAAAATCAGCCTATACCAGCTTTAGCTAATTCATCCGCTTCCCAATTTGCTGCTCTCGAGATGAGCCTTGTGATAATACCCTTCCTCTCCACAGTAGAAGCTATATCCCTTACCAAGGATTGAAACAAAGTAGTACTAAGGTTCGGATTATTAATCCACTTCAGAGCATTAGAAGAATCTGATTCCAAAATGGTCCTCTGATTTGAAAAGAAATCAGCTTCAACTTCCTCAATAAGAATCAACCCTCTATTGATCGCCAAAAGCTCCGCGAGTAAGGGAGGACCTCCCCCTACCTTCTCTGAAAATGACCCAAGCACCAACCCACTGCCATCCCTAATCAAGCCACCTATTCCACCCTTATCCCAACCTTTGACCATTGCACCATCTACATTTACTTTTAAAAACCCTTCCGGAGGAGGACTCCACCTAGAAGAAGGAAGATATCTCTTATTCAGATTGACATGTTGATCTGCTAGTTTTAAATCCCCCATCAAGGAATTGAAATGAAAATGAACATCCTTAACTGATGTTTCAAACCAAGAAACAGTTCTGAAACGTGAAATGAAGAACAAGAACGCTGAATCTACCTTCCCATTATGAAAAATCACCTCATTTCTACATTTCCAAACAGACCACAACACTACTCTTGAAATAAACTTCCATATATGAGATCGCGGCACTAGGTTATCCCAGGCAATTAAGAAATCCATCAACGAACCAGGAACCACAAAGAAAACATTCCATAACTTTAAAAACTTAGCCCACAAAACCAATACCACTTCACAGTGAAGAAACAAATAAGAGACCGACTCATTGTACTTCCTGCACATAGGGCAGACAGAGTCTTCAACCCCAGTAACTCCTCTCTTCAGCAGTTCCTCTTTCACCGCAACTGTATGATGAGCAAGTTGCCAAACAAAAGATTCCACACGTGGTGGAGCTACTCCTTTCCAAACATACCTTTCCCAATTACTTTCTAATTGATCAATACCCTCTATCAAAATAAGTTTTCATGCATGATTTTGCTGTAAAACAACCCTCTCCATTTCCCAACCAAATCCAACAATCTTCCTCTACTAGAGACAAAGAAGAGCTATTCAACAGAGAGATAATTTGCAGCCACTGCTCAACCTCCCAATCCAGCAAATTCCTTCTCATTTGAATATCCCAAACCCAACCCGAATCATTGTACAATCTGAATTCTGCAACCTTACCCTCTTTGTTATTCGAAAGAGCAAATAACCTTGGAAACCTATCTTTTAGAGGAACCGAACCCAACCAAACATCATGCCAAAATTGAACAGTTTCTCCATTTCTAGCTCTAACACACAAATTTCTCCTAAAACAGTCCCCAAATGCATCACTTGAAAAGAAGTTCTTAACAACTCCTCTCCAAATCCAAGAAGTACGAGCTGTCCAAGTATTCCGGATCATCAATGAATTAGGATCCATATTGTAAACACAACACACAACTGATTTCCACCAAGAATTTTTCTCTGCAGCAAATTTCCACACCCATTTCCCCATAAGAGCCCTGTTTAATAGCAACAAATTCGGAATCCCTAAACCCCCCAACTTCTTTGGCTTACACACCAAATCTCACTTGATCCAATGAATGTTCTTTTTATCTGATGATCCCCCCATAGAAACGATGCCATGATAGAGTTTAGTTTGTTGAGAACACTAATAGGGATTCGAAAAATAGAAAGATAGTGAATTGGAAGAGAGCACAACATCGATTTGACCAAGACAACCCTTCCAGCCAGAGATAAAGACTTGGCCTTCCAACCAACCAAACTATTATAAAATTTTTGTACAACCGGTTCCCACAGGGAAAAAGAATTCCTCTTGGCCCCCAATGGAAGACCTAAGTACTCCGAAGGAAAAACTCCCCTTACGCACCCTATTTCCTTTTCCCATGAAACTAGTTCCTCCTCCCCCACATTAATTCCAAAAATTCTGCTCTTAGACAGATTCAACTTCAAACCCATCATCAGTTCATAAATTAAAAGCACCCTTCTAATATTCACCAAATCATGAATAGAAGCCTTACTAAAAATTATTAAGTCATCCACAAATTGCAAATGAGATAACATGAAAGAACGATCATTAGAGCCTAATTCAAAACCCGAAAACAACCCCTTGTTCACTGCTTTTACCAACATTAAATGCAACAATTCTCCTCCCAAATTGAACAACAAAGGGGATAACGAGCAGCCCTGCCTTAGTCCTCTAGTAATGTGAATGTTCTCCGTAGGTGTGCCATTTACCAAAACTGAAATGGAAGCTGTTGAAACACACTTGTACATCCAAGAACTCCATCTAGCTCTAAACCCCATTTTACTCATTATTTTCAGCAAGATCCTCCAATCAACCGTATCAAAAGCTCTTTTGAAATCCACCTTAAAAACAACTCCCTTCAATCCTTTTTTTCCTCCAACAATCAATGCCTTCATTTGCTATAAACGAGCAATCTAAAATGTGCATCCCCGGTATAAATGCGAACTGTGAAGGACTAATAACTTCATTAATGCATAGGCTTAACCTTCTAGCCAGAACTTTTGAGAGAATTTTGTAGAAACCCCCAACTAGACTAATAGGCCTAAAATCTTCAATCCCCTCCGGATTGTCCCTCTTGGGAATAAGAGAGAGGAAAGAATGATTGGTTTCCATGTCCCATTCCTTTCCCTCATAAAATTCCTTAAAAAACAGCAGCAAAACTTCCTTCAGACTTGACCAAAACTTCTTAAAAAAGCCTAAATTCAGTCCATCTGGGCCAAGTGCTTTATTACAATCCGAATTAGCGATTACACCCCAAATTTCCTCTTCAGAAAAAGGCTTCTCGAGTGCCATACTCTGCTGATTTGAGAGCTGTAAAAAATCCAAGTCCATCTCCTCAACTTCCAATGTATTTTCCTGATTTAACAACTCCTTGAAAAAGTGCACCACCGAAGCTTTAATTAATTTTGGATCTGAAATGTCTTCATTATCTACTTTGATAGATTTGATACCATTTCTCCTTCCTCTACCTCTTGCACACTGGTGGAAAAATCTAGTGTTCTTATCCCCATTCAAACTCCACTTCAATCTTGACTTTTGAAGCCAAATCAGTTCATCTTTTTTATACAAGTCCCACAGCTCTTTCTTTGCTTCCACTAGGTTCTTCATAGACACCATGGAGAGACCTTGTTGCAAATTAAGTTCCATCTCCTGAATTTCTTTCTCCAACCTATTAATTCTCCCAGGGATCTCAAGATAACCCTTTCCAGACCAATTCTTCACTGCAACCTGCACTCCTTTTAGTACAATAGAGATTGGTTGTCTATTCTCCACATTACACAGCTTGACCAGTTCTCCCTCCATCATCTTACAAAATCCATCCTCTTCCAAGACATAATTAAAAAATTTGGACGGTTTAGGGCCCCAATTCTAGCCCCTATTTTCCAGCAAGATGCTGTTATGATCTGAAACAGACCTTTCAAGGAGTCTTTGAGTTATCATAGGGAACAATGATAAAAATCTTTGATCCACTAGGAATCGATCTAGCCTCTCATAAGTTGGGATATCCCTATTGTTACACCATGTAAATCGACCTCCAACCAAAGGCAAATCCAATAAATTAGCTTTGCTCATAAAATCTTTGAAAGCAAACATTGTAGCTAAGTTCAATGCACCTCCAATCTTCTCATCCTGTGACATTACAACATTGAAGTCTCCTCCGAGACACACTGGACAGTCTATATTCTCTAAGAATGATAACAGCTCCCCGAAAAACGCCTCCTTTTCTGAATCCACACTCAGACAATACACATTTATGAACCAACAGGATCCTTGTAACTCATCAATAATACCCTTAACTGCTACAAACCTCCTATGAATGATCTCCTCTATAACCTTACACTCTTTTTCATTCCACAAAGTAATCAAACCTCCAGCAGAACCTACAGCTGCTGAAACTGCCGAAGCTGTCAACAAATTACCACCCATTTTCCTCACTACCAAAGGAGTCAACACTTCCATTTTCGATTCCTGAATGAATAAAATTAAAGGCTTTCTCTCATTAACAACCCTCCTTACAGCTCTAGCCTTTATCCTCCTACGCCTTAATTTCCCCCATGTGCTCCTTTCTCCTTAACCAATGGAATTGCTTTGTTCATAAAAGCTTTTCCCCCCCTCTAAATGTAACCCCTAACAATTTACTTACATTCCAGCTCTCCAATGCCTCTGCCCCATCCCCCTCCTCATTTCTATATTCATATTCCGATCTTGTACCTAAACAACTCCTAGTTCCCCTTGACCTAGATCTTGAATAAACATGTTTGTATTTGCCCCTTCCCATTCTACTCCCAGGTACAACCCCCGAATTCCTATGAGAAGACAAGGAAACAGACCCCACCTGCACGGGAATTTGACAATGCACAACATTATTTTCTGCTGTTTCGAAACATCCCTTGCTTAATCTCTCCTCCTCTTGGTCCAGCCCACTCCTCAAATGTATATCTGGGCCCCTAATAAGCCCATTTCCGCAATTAACTTTTTCATGCTCTATGGGAGCACCTCCCAGACTTTTCCCATTTTCTCTCCCTTCATTAACTTCTTCTGACTTTTCCTGCTGTATGGAGACATCCCCTACTTCTGTCACTTTTTTGCACAAGACAAAAGTATTTTCCATACCTATGTTTAAATTCAAACCTCTCTCGGTAGTTGTGTTTTTGCCTTGTTGAGAACTTCTAACCCAATACTCAATCCTATTATGGGGTTCTGACAACTCCTGTACTCCCACCTGCTCTTCTTGCCGATTCTGCACATCTTCCTTGCTCCAATCCGAAGAGCTTTCCTCCCATGGTTCCTCTGCAGCTTCTTCTACCTCCATATCTGTTAATTCTGGGAAAAAATCCTCAGCACCATCAACTTTAATTTTAATCATGAATCTTCTCCCATACATAGTGAAGAAGATCTGTTCTGGAATATCAAATGGACTCTCAACCCTTAGTAACAACTGCGCCACTCTGCAATCCACTCTATGTGCAGTTTGATCTTGGATTTTTACTACCTTGCCCCATTTGGATGCTAAGCTAGAAAAGAACGGGACCGACCAACAATTTAATGGGACACCGATCATTGAAATCGCACAATAAGCTAATGGGATGCCCCCCTCCTCTACCACTGGCTCCAATATTTCAAACCAGAACGTCAGAGCTTCCCATTTTTCTTCCATTGCAATTCTTCTCTCTTCAACCGACTGAAACACTACCAGACACGCATTCTTCGCACTCCCCACCTTATCACTTTAACTTTGAAGCCCTCATTCCGTAAGGCTTTCTGCACAAATTCTACTTCAAAAATATCTTTGCAAATGCCAGTAAGTGAAGATTTCAACCATAATCTCTCTTCCATCGGGATAAAGACCTCCAAAGATTTCTTCTCTTCCTTAGTATTCCTTTGACTGCTTACTTGATGACCCTCTGGAACTTTTTCCACCCCAACCACCATGTCTCTATAAGTCCTTCCATCAAGGAACTTGCTCATTCGTTCCATTTTCTCTTTCCCTTGTACTGGAGAAGTCAATCTTCTGCCCTTCAACTCTCCTATTTCTACCTTTTTGAAGCCCTCCTCGCTAGCCCCTTCACGACTCTTCATCTCAGATAACTTGTCATATTTAGCTACTTACACAGAAATTATCTTCCCGGCAATCCTGACATTATTCATCTTCTCCACCGCATTGCACATATCCTTCTTGCTTGCAAAATGGACAAATGCAAACGTACAATCCTTGTATTTCGGTCTGTTGTTAATAAAAGGAATAAACACCCTAATAACTTTTCCATGATAACTAAAATGTTCCCCTAATGTTGCATTTTATTTTTTATTTATTTATTTTCATTATGAGAGTTTTAATAAAGCTGGTTGCTGGAAAATCCCAAACCCCTTTTTTATCCCTAAATCAACTAGATTTATCATACTCTTTCAATTTTCTTAGCTGTTCAAACCTTCCTCTACATCAGATTATCTCACATGGTGGAATGTAAAAATTAAGAGTGATGCTTAATTTAAAACCCTATGCAAAATTCCAATGATCCAAACTCCAGGCTAAAAGCAAAATTTCCTGAACTTCTAGGAGTATTGGAGATCTAAACTAATGTCCCTACAAGAAAAAAATATAACAATAGTTCCAAATAATGCATGGGGCGGTAATATTTTTCCCAACTTCAACAGGTTGAGTTTATTGAATGCTTGTGCTAAAATGGCATCCAAGAGAAATAAAATAAGATAAAACCAAAAGAGAAAAAGCGATTGACTGAAAAAAAAATATAGGTTTGATAATAAAGAAATTTTAAAAGAATCTACATCAGATAATTTGTTAACTCATGACCACCCTACAACTTACATGGAGGCGACGTGGTTGAGAGCTCTGAGTGAAATGTCAATCCTTTACTAAATTCTAGATATGAAGAACCTGCAAAAGATTGCAAGGATTTGCATAGATAGTTTCAATTTACAGACTTCGAATAATTAACAACCATGTTTTTGTTATTGTTGCATTTTATTTTTTATTTATTTTTTATCCATTATTGTTGCATTTTAGAACTAAAATCAATAACTATGGCCTATGAAGAGAAACTTGCCATCTTTTGACACATATTTACTCTGCGGACCATTATAAACAGCCTTGTGGATTATTGCTCTTTTCTTAACTTCCTCCTCTCTTGCTAAAACACGCTCTAAATTCCTTAAGTTCATGATTTCTGCAAAATTAAACTTCATAGATTCAAGTTAAAATCAAATAAGAACCTCAGAAATATAAATATCAAAGTTAGCTTTCAGCCTGAACCAGTTTGTGCTGCTTCGAGAAGCATTTCTTCTTGAGTCATCCTCTTCTCTTCACCTTCTTTTTTCCGTTTTACAGGCTGGTGAACAAAAATATGTCATAAACATAATCACATGGGATAACTACATTTTCCCTCTTTCCAGATTGTAAAACCACTCAATACACACAAACAGAGACATGCAGATACAAGTCTTAATATATGAAATTAGAAATCATACATTAGATACTATCCATACATAAATAGTTCATGAGGATATTCCCACCAATTTTGAATAGAATGTCTGCATGAATCTTTTTAATGAATTAGAGATGTGTATGTGCGTATAAACATATGTTTTGTTGTCAATCCTGACATGTAAGCAACTTGGACAGTTTGACATCTCTGCATACATCATGAGTTTCAACCAAAGGATTACAGAGGGTTCAGTAAAAGGTAGTGATGATGTTTTTATGGCTTCTAACCACATTACAGTCTGTTCAGAAGAAAGTACGTTTGGCATACTTCATAAGATAACAAAGTTGCACTCTGGTGCTAGAAGTAACATGATAAGTTTTAAGACAACAGAAAACTAGTGAATAGTGCTATAAATTCCCTATGATGCTGATATAGCACATAAACAAATATATATATTTTCTTAATCTGATAGTTATATTTCATACTCTATGCGTGTAGATCATGCACGCCAAATTTAGAGGTAATTAAAAATGTCTACCATTGTTTGATTTAAATTAAACCATTAACTATTTATCGAAGAAAACAATAGTCTCGACCAATGATATACATATCTGATCTGTTTGAAACTTTGCATGCATGAGTACAATTATGTTGTTAAATCCTTAGTCGACTTGTTAAATATTAATTAGACATATAGTCTTATCGGAATTAATACTGATGCTTTAGCAAAGGAATTGATTGACCTTAGAAACATAAGAAACTGATTACTGGGATCAAAGTTTGCCAGAAAATCACTCGTATTAAATCATAACCAACATCAAATTGGTTAAAGAAATCACTACCACCTGAACAAAATGATCAAAGATTAAAAAAGAGGCAGGTGGGCTTTGCACACAACAAGAACCTGACATCTTCATGGAAAATGATGCTTGAGGCTTAAAGATTTATACCCAAATTCATAGGGCTTAAAAGTGAAGACATGATAGAACAATAATATGGAGAAACCTTTTAAAATTCCATCATACCTTCAAGATAGAAATACCAATCCATATGAATATGAGTAATAAATATTTGATCAATTTAAAACTTTGCATGTTAAATCCAAAGCCGAATTAATAATAGTTTCCTCAGAATTAATATCAATGCTTTAGCAAAGGGATTGACCTTAGCAAATTGATCCAGTAACTTAATTTTTTTATCAATTGTACGATATAATTGATTTTTGCCTAAACGTGAAAAAATCACCCATATTCAATTCTGCAACTACATGCAAGAGACACAGAATGAAGTCAAATGAAAACAAATCATTTTCAGTTTAGTAGCGGAAAAACTATACATCCTTTCATGAAGTCATTTTTCTTTCTTGGAGGAGCCAAGCCAAAATGCAGGGCCAATTCTTGGGATTGCCATGCATTTTTCCTTTTTTTATCTTCTTTCTTTTCCTTTTTTTAAAAAGTAATGGGAGAATGGCATTTACTTCCATAAATCAGGAATCAAGCAAATACTATGGCACTTTAAGACAACCATGCTCCCCATGCCTTCAACATATGCCTCTGTCTCTCACTGTTAACAACTGATTAAAGCTTAAAGAATAAGTGTAGTGTCAACAGCAAACGTCAAAAGGTATAATACTGAAACAGTCAGTATGAGAACACTTCTAATACCTATTAGTTGAAGTTTCAACTAGATTTCATTGATTGATTGATATACCAAAGCACATATCTATACACATACCAGCTAGAAAAGATATATGTACTAATTAATACCATGCTCCATTGCATTTTCCCAATTTTAAGATGACGACCAATGAGTTCTAGAAATATTTTCCCACAAAAGAAGAATGAAAAGAATAACCAAAAGACTTGCCTTCATTGTTGCCTGCATAGCAGCACGTATTGCATCTCGCTCAGCTTGCCTAACAATGACCGATGTTCTAGTAGATTTCCTTATAATTTTTTCACCTTCTGCATCATCAGGGGCATCATGATGTTGCAGAGAGGTAGTCTTTTGAGTAGCATTTTCATCTTTGGAATCACCATCTAAATTTGAAAGGACTTTCTTTTTCTTCTTTTTCTTCATAGAAGACTTTCCAGGAAATATCAGACGCTTCTTTGTGCGAACCCTGTTAGAGCAACTCAAAATAAAAATAATGGCTATGAAATGGAAATGGAGATGTAAATACAATATAAAAACGTAAAAGAAGCTAAACCTTTCATCTGCTTCTTTTTCTACTTCCTCATCTGGCTCAGGTTCCTAGCAACCATGGAAGAGTCAATTTTCAAGATAGGGAAGGTGTAAAGTTTTCTTAGCACTAAGAGTCTTATGACGGAAGAGTACTTATAGAATATTAATTAAATCAGAAGTAGAGAAGGTAACAATACAAACATCTTCATCGAAGTCACTATCGAACACATCGGCAACCTCTGGTTCTTCTTCATAATTGACATCATTCTCCTCCTGGAGAGAGACACAAATAGAAAAGTTTATACCAATATGTCGTTCTAAAAAACTTTATTTCAGAGTTTATACCAATTCTAGGGAACATGAAATCACCCATATCCCAACACAACAACATCAATTCTATAATCTATTAATTTGACAAGAGTAATTCCGCTATAAAAATGTTTGTTTGTACCTCTTTAAAAGCTTCTTGATTCCAAAACAACTCGTCCTCTTCAACTTCGTCGTTCAGCAACTTCGTCATCCTGGAAATAGTAAATAATGGGGTTTCCATATCAATTATATCCGGAAAATTTTTGGAAAAAAAGAAAACAACAGAACAGTATTAAGAGATAGTAATATTATCTTATTTTAAGTTGAAGACTTACCTTCTCCCTCTCGTTGATCGAGAAGCACGGTCCAGGGAGACGGCTGTATCTTCTTTTCCGGTTTCCATGGATAAAAAAGTAAAAACTTCACCACTTGCGACGCCGGAGAGGAAGAGTAGATCGGATAGGTACCGGAGACTTTTGGTGGGATTGAGAACTTAAGAGAAAGAAAGACGACAGGAAGCCGCGAGAGCGTAAAAAATTAACCATGCCAAAAGCTACTGGTAGGGCTTCAAAATAAATAGGGTAAATTACAAGAATAGTCAATAAAGTATTAATAAATTTCATTTTCAGCATTAAATATTCAAAAACAATAAAACAATCATTAATATTATCAGCTCACTCGATTGTTAACGACCGTTTCTCATAATGAAAAACTGATGTAATACATGAAGTTGATTTGTTTAACACTTTTTGGCCGCATAAAATGAGAATCGACTGCCTTTTTGACTCAGTTTACTTCTTCTCAATCGTCTTTGCTCTCTCCTATTCCTTTTCTCTATAATTTGGTTTTTACAAAGCTAAAAGAGCAACATCTTAATTGTCATTTTCAATATTATTCAAAAGTTAACGGGGTTTTAAAATTAAATTTTAGTGTTTTAAATAGAATTATATTATAAATTTTTAAAATATCAATTTTATGTTCGGAATCTAATTGAGGTAAATTTTTTAATTCATGTAACCCTTTTAGATCTATGCATTCACGAGAAACCAAAAGTCTTGTTGCTGTTTTCGTCTTGAAAAAACATTATTTTGGATTTTAATTTTAATTTTTTTATTTTTTTATCAATAGTTTTATATCTTTGACTTTAATCTTTTTTTTCGTGTCGGACTTAAAATTTTTAATTTCTATATAAAATATATCATTGTTTAAAATAATTGTATACATTATATTTTGATCAATATAATTTAGTTTCTTTTCACTTTAATCTTTGTGGTGCAAAATAAAATTATAATTAAGCCAAACTCGTCGACAATTGTCATCGATCTAACAATATCAACAATAATTTAAAAACAAACATTTATTTTATACTAAATTGAACTCACAATTTTTATTTTTAACTTTATGAAAGTTTTCATTTTAGGTCTATGTAATTTTAATATCCTTTTAAGATTTTACAACATAATAATACCCGTAAACAAAAAATACTTTTGATTCCCTTCCCAACTAATAGTCTTCTTTTAAAAGGATGGTTTCTAAGAAATATTGTTTTAGTCTACATACTTTTATTTCCTTGCAATTTGGTCTAGTTCCAAATTTGTTAATTTTTACGATTTTTGGAACACCAAAATTTAAGGGTCTATTTGGTTTTAGAAAATATAGATTATTTTCATTTTCTTAGAAAATAGAAAACGTTGAAGAAAACTTGTTTGATTATGAAATTATAAAATGATTTATGAAAATGAAAACAAAAAATAAGTGAAAGTATGAAAATATAAAAAAATATTTTCAGTGTTTTTATTAAAATTATTTTGGAAAAATATAAAATATGAAAATATGACATCTAAATCTTTAACTTAACTTACTTGAGTTCGAATCCTTCTAATTTTTTTAAATAATAGTATCTAAAATCCTCAAAATTTTTTTAAAAAAAATCAAATTGGTCCTTAAATTTTTTTACAGTTAATGTGGTCCTTATATTGATCTTTTTAATACCTTAATTTTGTAGTATTTTATATTTCATGTATTGAATATCTTAATAATTTTGTATATTTTAATATTAAATTTTTTTTTTTAAATAAACAAATCCTTTAATTAAAAAAATCAATTATAACTCCAAACTTAGCCAAGAAAACAATTAAACTCATCTATCACATAATCGTCCATCATGTACTATCATAACAATATCGCATTCTATCACGTCAAAAATTATATATTGTCATGTAAGTTTCATAAATTGTCATGTAAGCATCGTGATGATCAACTTCCGTCGGTTGTAGTGTTAGATTAATTTTCTCTTTTCAATTTAAATGTCACATTAAGTGTAAAAAGCGTGTAGGGGCTACACTAGTTTTTCCCAAAAAAATTTGAGGACATCAGTTATCACTAAACATGTTTTTATTTTGATGACACTTTTATGTGTTTTTGCTTACAACAATATTTTTCTTATTTTTAAAATTTAATTGATGTCTATACGCACTGTCATTATATTCTCATTATAAATTAAAATATTTTTGTGTTATAAATTTTCATATCAACTTTATTGTTTTATATTTGCATAACTCGTATGTTAGATCTACATAATAATTTTCAATAATTGTAATTTATTTTAATTATTTAATAACTATTTGTTCATTTATATTTTAAAAAATTAGATCTCAAATATATTTTCATTATTTTTATTTATGGATTCAAAGTTTTAATTTATATTAATCGAACATATTTCCTAATTTTCAAAAAAATGAGAATGAAAATTGTTTTTTAGAAAATAAAAAAAATAAATTTTTTTACAAATCCTAATTATTCCGTTTTCACTAAAACGATTTTTAAAAATTTATATTTTAATACATACATTTTAATTTTTTTATTTAATTCATAACTTTTTTTTAAAAGAAGAGCAGAGTCGTTCTATCACTAAGAGGACTCTGCCCATAATCGTTAAGGAGTAAGGACTATAGTATTTTTTATAATAATTATACCATTTTGAGTCCAAACTTGTACAATTGTGTAATTAACTTAAGATATAATTACATTATGATTGTTAAATATGTCTAAGAATTATAATTCTTAATAATCACAAGTGAGTGTTAATACAGTAATTAACTAGATATAGTAATTTTTCCAATCAAGAGTTCGTTTGATCCAATGGCTCAATCATAAGCTTATTTGAATTTTGGTACAATTTGAGGGTGAGTTTGGTATTTAAACCTGATATTTTTTTTTCAGTATTTTTATCAAGCCTATTTCCATTAAATAGCAAAACAGATCAGCAAAATTCGAAAGAGAACTCTCGTCTCTTTTATTCGCTTGCCTTGCCTTTTCCCCAACTCTCTGCTCTGAACAACTCCGGTACTTAATCTAACCTTTGATTTTAATGCCTTTTAACTTTAATTTCCTATAACCGGCCGAATCTACTCTTGATTTTGTTCGCGCACTCATAGATTTTTGCTTGTGTCTAAGCGACTAGGTTTTTCACTTTTTAAGAATGCAAACCCACGCTTTTTTTATAAATATTTTCTTTGCATCACATTGTCTTCGCTGTATCTTCTAGGGTTCTAATCGTTTTCAATAATCTCATTTTTTTCTATTCATTTCTTGTATTTTTTCCTCTCCTTTTCTGTTTTAGTTCAGGGTCTTTCAATAATGCAGATTGGATAATATTTTATTTTGTTGCTGCCATGTTTGACAATTTAGGTTATTAACGTTTTATTTACTGTTATTTGCTCGAATTTGATCTGCTTCTTAATTCTTTATTTTTTGTATATATATATATATAATTTAGTTTCTCTATGAAGCTCTTACCTGCTTTTATTTTATTTTCTCTTCTTTTTTTTGCATTGTAGATTTCAGCTTAGATAGTGTAAATTGGCTTTGAGATTGTTGGAACTTCACATTACAACGATGGCAAATTTACAGATGACCGGTATTCTAGAAAAGGTATTGTTATAATAACATGTTGATTTAATTGAATTTTTCCGGGTTTTTTCTGTCTTGCTTCAACTCTTACAGTTTGCTCAAGTTTATAGATGCATGAGAAAATAAAGAGAAAATGAAAAAAAAAAGACTTATCTGATATCGATTAGTAACTTATTAATCTCTTCATATAGATGACTGGGAAGGATAAAGATTATAGATATATGGCTACTTCTGATTTATTAAATGAGCTAAACAAGGAGGGCTTTAAGGCTGATTCTGACCTCGAGATAAAGTTGTCAAATATTATCCTCCAGCAACTTGATGATGTAGCCGGTGATGTTTCCGGATTGGCTGTCAAATGGTAAGTTTTTGTTCTTTAACGTGGTGTTTTGCATTCATAAGTTTGTATATTTTAGGTATCTTATTTTGAGTGGTAGCATGCTAGGCCAGTTCACAGGATTTTTCCTGGTTCTTGTATTGCATTGTTTTGAGTTTATTCTTATTTTATCTTCTATTGCAGTCTTGCTCCATTGGTGAAGAGAGTTGGTGAATCAAGAGTTGTGGAGATGACCAATAAACTCTGCGAGAAATTGCTTAACAGCAAAGATCAGCACCGTGACATTGCAAGCATGGCTTTGAAGACAATCATTGCTGAAATCTCTACTCCATCGCTTGCACAATCCGTTTTAGTTTCTCTATCTCCTCAACTAATAGGAGGAATAACTGGCGGGGTAGTTTCCAAACACTTCTTGTCAATGCTTTGTGATTGACATCTTCAGTGAATTCCACCATGAAAGTGTTACTTTTAATGTGTTGTTTTAGTTTATTGATTCTACTAAGTTCTGATGCAGAAATTTAATTACACTAAGATTTATGAACAATGATATTTGCCTCATAAAGTTCTCATAGATACTTCTTTTACTGCTTCGTCATGCTAATCATATATAGGACCATGAAATGGGATGAACCTTAAGGCTGATATTACTTCCTTTGGCAATGCTGTCTTTTTGCAGTGAAAGAAATATAGGCATATATTTTCTTTTTCTTGCTTGCTTTGAATATTTTGTATTCATGGTTATTTATTTTAATATTTTTGCAGGGGACTAGCACAGAAATCAAATGTGAATGTCTTGACATTTTATGTGATGTTCTTCACAAGTTCGGAAATCTTATGACAACTGACCATGAGATACTTTTGAATGCATTGCTGTCACAATTGAATTCCAATCAAGCTAGTGTTAGAAAGAAGACAGTTTCTTGTATTGGTAAGATGTGCTGAATCAAAGCATATATGTTTGTTTGGTGATCTTTTTTATCATCCTTTTCATTGATTGAATTTTTGTTCCTTTAAACTTGATTTTGATGTGCTCAAACTTATATTTCATTTTGGAGTCCTTTGTGGAGTAACAGTTTGACGTATGGAGAAAGCTAATTTTCCTTTAAACTTATTTATTATTTCCTTAAGCTTTCAATTCCTGTACTACTTTTGCTCAATATGGCGAAAGCTAGATGCCTTCTATTTCTTGTCATGTATGACATGCATGCCAATATGTTGCAATGAGGAGAGGTTTCACTTCTTTGATTCCTAATATAATTTTGAT